TAGCGTAGCTACCAAACCAGCATTTCATCTCCAGGAAGTTATCCCAGAGAGAAGTAAAGCAAGTGTGTAAGTTCATCTCTGAATGTTTGTAAAGCATTCCCACGTTAAACTTAACAACCGATATATGGAGAGACGGCCTCTTCTCTCTCCCTCCCTCTCCTGCTGCTACTTCAATAGTGAAACTGATCAATGATCAGCTGATCGGCTTTTCTGTCGGAGTCCGTCTCTCTTCTTTGTTTTTGGCCCACTTTGCACCAGAAAGAGGAAACCAGCGGCTGAACAACAGCAGCACGTTTAACCTTGATAAGCTGTTGTTAGAATTTATTTAACATTACTTTCTACACCAGGATCTTTTTCTACGCAGCTGACGGCTGGTAACTGTGCAGGGGCGGATCTAGCAAAGTTTAGCCAGGGGGGCCGATGGGGCATGAACTGGGAAAAGGGGGCACAAAGACATACTTTTCTTTCTTATTCTCATTTAAAATGTCTAGCTTTTAATAAATAATTATCTGAATCTTACACCCAAAGTCTTAATCTGATGTAAAATGTATAGAAGTCCATTACTGTATATAGTAACTGTTAAGTCTAATATACCGTAGTAAGCTATAGTACTTTTTCTTTTGGGAAGGTACCATCTGTGCAGTCTGCAATTCTGTAGAAGAAAGATGTTGAATCTATTTAATTATTTTTGAAAAATAATTTATTTCTGTGCATTTTTTTTCACACTGCATCAAACTAAAGTTGATTACGTCGATTAAGCATCATGAGGAGGAGGGTGGGGGGTGGTTCCCTATTTTTTTATTTTGCTGGGAGTTTGCAACCCTATCAGTTAGGTTGCTTAATATTTCCGCTAAGTACTCTTTAAAATACCAAAATAGGGAGGATGGTGCAGGTTTAAGTTTATTAGATTGATCAGTATTGCTGAACTATGAAATATTTTGGGTGCAGTGTATTTTTTTACACACAGGTATAACAGAATAGCTTTAGTGTTGTTTATTTAAACTTGAATATGAACTTATACAAAATGCAGCAAGATATTTAAAAAAAAGTTTTATTGATTAAAAAACACTATATCGGATTCATATCGGTATCGGCAGATATCCAAATTTATGATATCGGTATCGGACATAAAAAAGTGGTATCGTGCCATCTCTAGTATATTCATATGCAGATGTCCGTGTGTAATTAATGGCAGCTCTGCTGCCATTAGTGTGCGTGTGAGTAAATGCAAAACACATGCAATACGCTTTGTAAAAGTGATGAAGTTTAAAGATGCTATAAAGGCTAAGAGCAGACTATTTTCTGTTTTACAGTTTTTAAGAATTACAGCTGCTTCATATACTTCAGAGAAGAGGACACAGTGGAGTGTGAAGCAGCGTGAACCTGTGATCTACTCAGATTACTTGTGTTAGCTCTGAGGGCTCTTGTGAAACCCACACAGAACTTTTCTAAGAGGAATTCTGACATGCTGTTCTTTTATTAGAGTGTTTACACCAAAAGTATAACTGCAGGGCAGTGTGTTTGTGTGGGCAGAACATTACAGGTACACTGCAAGTGAGAAGATCCAGGAAGTCCACAGTGAATGATATATGAGGTTTATGGGGAAAGCTTTGGAAAGTTATCAATGGTGTGTTAACACCAATAAGAAGAGACTCACATGTAATAATATTTTTGCCAAGATCAACCTCCAATTTTAAAGTGATTCCAACACCAAGTGCCAAAAACTGCAGTTGCTCAAATGGCCACTTGAGGCCGGCTGCAAAAGTGATTCAATTCCTGGCAGAAATACAGCAGAAATAAACACGTTTACAGCCTGGTATAAAAAAACAGCTTGGGTCTTTATAGCTCTTTCCCTCCTTCATGACTGCACGGGGAAGTGACTTTCTAAAGAAATTATCCATTTAAGGCATAAAGTTAGGAAAGGTAACCAGTCTGAGTGACAGATGGCTGTCATTTTGTGTAAGGAGCTGGCTGGTTAGTTTTCCCAGCAAGTACTTTTATAAGCAGTTCTGATTTCTTCACGCCACAATTAGCATGGGATTTATTATCAGTGAATTAAGAATGTGCCCTACTAACAAAAGTACCTAGCCAGCACTAGCAAAGCTCAGCAGTGGTCATATCTGCTAGATTAAAACTAAACACCCCCCCACCCCCCCCCCCCCCCACCCCCACACACACACCCAAAAACCCCCAGAAAACAACAACAGACATTAAACCACCAGGTGATTGCTCAATGCTCACAACCATCTTTTATTTACTGCCTGTGGTCAAGACTAAAGAAACTCCAAGAGGGCACAGATTTTTTTGCAGAGCCTGAAATATTGCCTGTCAGGATGTCTTTAGACGTTATCAGTTTATTTCAAGCATATTGAACTGTCTCACTCAATCACTCAGTCTAAATTGGCTGACTTTTGCTTCTGCTCTGTTTCTCTTCACCTCAGTTTTATTTTTATTCTCATTACTCCCTTTTCCATGTTTGCACTGCACTCCCCGATTTACATTTGCTGCATCTCCCTTCTGTTTTTGTATACCCTTCCAGATGATGAGGCCACTAGACTGAATTACATGCAGACTTAGTTGCAGGTAGTGCTCAGGCTGTGTGAGGCCCTTAGCTGCCACATGCAGCTTGAGTCAGACTGACAGGTAGCCTGGGGCTGATATCACGGATCTTCTTTCTCTCCCTTTCACTCCTCAACTATATGCTGCTCGCCTCCCTTCTGCTAGACATTATTGCATTAAAATTCACTCCCCCCCCACTTCTCCCCTGCTTAAGGCTTAGCAGGTTGGCATGTGGTGCATATACTCAAATCCACACTGCAAGCTTCTCCAACCCATGGCTGCAAGGACTTATGTTAGATGATGTCCCCTTCAGCATGAAACAGTGCTCAGCCAAGAGAACCGCCGTTACTGTCCAGCAGATTCAAGTGGTGACCACAGTTGCTGGAGGCAGGTCAAAGCAACTGTTTAGGGTGGTACTTCATGTTTGTCTGTGATAGTTCCTGGCAGCCACACTCGAGCGTTCCGTCTGTTGAGTCACCGCGGGGACTTGAACTCAGCCTGTGTCAACTGTCAAGCAGATGTCCAGGATCGGAAGGAGGGGAAGTGGCAATGCTTCAGAGAAACAGCGTCCTCAAGTACATACACAAATACTCGTTCGTAAATGCCCACGTATATTAATTTACTACTTGACAGACTAGCGCTGAAAGGAAAATAGAAAGGAGGACAATTTGAGATGTGAGCAAAAATGAAAAAGAAAAAAAAAATAGATCTTCACACAGCGCAGAAGAAGGAACAATTCTGACAGCCCAGCTGGTGTAAGTGATTGTTTGATTGTCATGGGGAATTCAGGAAACTCGACTGAGATTCTTTCTCCCTTTTTCGTTTCACATAGTGTCTAAAAAGGCTGCCAGCCTGGCCAGCAACTCCTTGTTAAACACTATTAAGGAAATATCTGTGACGCCCTGTCCTTCTCCTAGCTATGGCTGATATTTCTGGAGCAGAATGAGCCATGAAGATCCCCCAAAACGTGCCACTCCCTTGCTTTACCAGTTCAATAAAATAACAGATGATTGAATCCCGTCCCTCAAGTGACAGCTCAAGGCGAAAGCAAACTACGGTGACAAATACATTTGCGGCAATCACAGAAATTGTGTTTTGCATGATGTTCGAGGAGGAGTTGTCACTCAGAATTATCTCATTCTTTGGTGACGAACACTGGAGAGGGATTTCAGCACAAAATACAAATTAAAAAAAAATAAAAGAAGAGGAGAAACCATGTGAGAGAATCTTCCAAAGCTGCTGCTCTGGTCTAATCTTTAAAAAAAAAACAAAAAACTGTACACATGCACAAATATGAAAAATTAGATCATTAATGGGGATGGTAAAGCAATAGATGTGTGCATTTATTATGTGGAGAGACAACATAAACAAGTACTGCACAAAGTAGATAAGCAGGCTGTCACAAAGCTGCTGTTGGCCAGTGGGGGCCACTAATCTGAGTGCTGTGGACTACAGAGGCGTCAATATAGAGTGTGTGAACAAGAAATGAACTTTTCAAAACATTATTAACTATGTTAATTTCTAATTACACACGCACACACACACACACAAACACACACATATACATATACATATATACATATATATATATATATATATGCATATGCTTGGGCATGTAAGCAATCATAATGCATGTGTCAGGACATGTCACCACACGCGCGCACATTTGAGCATCCATAACTTACTAATGCATTTATAATGACATTATATAAATTATGCCCGACCACTAGGCCTTGTCACATCCTCTTTCAGCTGTGAGTTTTTCATCTTCCTAAAAAAAGACGCCTCCAAATGGAGTCGTTCCCTGTGATCGCCCGTTTTGGGCATTAAACCTCCAGGATGCAGAGTTAATGGGATTGCTCCTGTTTTGCTTCGGGCTGCGGACTGCACAGTGGCTAGAGACTGGTGGTGGTGGGGGGGGGGGGGGGGGGGGGGGGGGGGGGGGATTTGATGCTTAGAAGCGACTTAGTGGAGACAAGAAGAAACCAAGCCAATTTTCACTTTGTTGCTTCTCCAGCATGGCCAAGACATCCAATTCCATCAGGCCTTTGCTCCTGGCACAGCTGATAGAAATGGGCCCTAAGTCCTGTGGCAGGGCCAGCTTATTCCCTTATCTTCTAATGGCTCTGATAAGGGATTGGTAAAAGCGGTGACAGAATAACCACCGCGTGACCCGCTGCCAAAAAAATCCTGATTAATCTCACTAACGAACAATAGGAACAAGCTATGGATATTACAGATACTTTACTAATATCATTTACATATTTGTTTTGAAGAACAACAGCTGGGGCTGTTTTATCACTAATAACGAATAAAATCTATTTCAGCGAAGCTTAAATATCTCCCTGGGGGATGCAGCCCACCTGTTGAGACTGCGGTAACAACAACAATCTGAGCTTGTGGATTCGTTCAAATCTCTATTATTTTTCTTGCCGACTCACCGGGGGCTTTGTAGAAGCCAGTGTCCTCTTCTGTAAGAGGCAGCAGGTAGACTTCACCTTCCTTCCACAGCAGGGGGTAGTCCAGCCCTCCAGAAAACTCTCCCAACCAGCCTTCTTGATCTGGAGGTGAAAGACATCGCATCTGCTAAATATTCATGTTCACAAAGAGTTTGTATGTTTATTCTTACAGGGGTTATCTGTCCAAACAGCTTTGTGTAGGTTGCAATGTATGTTTATGTATGTTTTCTGTCTTTCTTTCATTTTTTGTTATCTAAAAAATAAAAGAAGAGAAAAAAACAGCTTTGTTCCTGAGAGCTCAGCACAGAGCCAAATGCTGAAAATGGAGTGAGGACAGAGGGTCAGGGAGAACAAAGTAAACATCGCTGGTCTCGTTAATTTTGGCTCAGTAATAAAGCTCCCAAGGCAACAGGGAAACCTCATTAATGGCTGGGAAGACAATACCTTCAACGAAGTCAGAAGTGATGTTGACAGCAGCATAGTGATTGGACGAGGAGCAGGCCAGCGAGTGGCCATAGCAGAAGCACGGTTGGCAGCCTGCTGGGTTTATTTGCTGGAGATTGAAAAATCCTGGCTTGCATCTGCAGGTACACAAACGCACACACACACATCCCCGTGCATAAAAAAAGTCATTAACATGCAGAAGTCACACCTGATTACAGCTCCTTACCACATCCATGCTGCACTGTTATATTCACTATCTATTTAAGCTTTTTTTCAGTTCAGCAGTTTGGGCGCAAGTCGCTGCACACATTGCGGCGTTTTAAGAAGAAGAATGGAGCTCAGCTGCTAGCACCCTGACCTGCAGGCACTTGCTGCCATGTGGGTGGGACAGGAACACCGCTAAAAATCAGCCACTACACTAGTCACATTACACAGGAGAGGAGCTTGCTCAACCACCCGTGAAATCAGCCAAAAAGTCAACAAACAGGGAGTACAGAATTATTCAATAGTTGGAGACCTGGGGCTGTGTGTATTGCTAATGTCATAGTGAGGTTATCTGTTTGATCCTCTATCCCACAGGAGCAAGATAGAAGCAGAAAGGGAGAAGCAGAGACTATTGACACAGTTTAACGGTCGCTTGCACTGCTTTAGTTGTTAAAATGACAGATAGCTTAAAAATGTTCAAGCAAGTCTGAATCAAATTGTTCTTAAGCCCTCTGTTTCTGCTGCACCAGCCGACTGGGAATGAAATTTGCAAAGTTATTTTCCCCTTAGGAGCGATAATGAAAATGATTTTTTTTCAAAAGCGATGCTAAAAAGAGACCAAACATAGGTATATTACATAATGTTTGGATGTTTTATTGTAAAAGACCTTTACAGTTGGCTTGTTTGTTCTTTATCTGGGAAACAAACAACAGCACAATAACCAACCTGTTGCAGTTCTGTCCCTCCACATTTTGCTTACAGTAACAGCGTCCATCCAGAGCAGAGCAGTCACCCACACTGCCACTGAGGTCACATTCACATGGCCTGCAGAAAAATAGAAAATAGTTTAATCTACTGCATTTAGCATGCATGTATAAAAGAGAAGCAGAAAAAGAAAATGGGCAGGAAACACTGAGATGAGGACAATTTGATGTGAAGACATCCCTGATGTCGGTTTCCTCACTTTCAAGACAGCAGATGTTCAGCTCTGAAAAACCACAGGGTGTCACGCTCAAGTAGATATTAACAACACGGGTTCTTGTCTTAAAACTTGAACCTGGGCCTTCACAGTGTTTCTGCCATCACCACAAAGTCATTTTCAAAAGTACAAAATGTTCTTCATAGCAAATCATCAACACCCAAATCTGAAATTTGAAGGCTGCGTAAAACGACCTCAATTAAAAAGCAAGTAAGTGTAAGTATATGGATCAGCAGCGTGTTGGATTTTTGTCAGATTTTGTTTGATCACATTTATTGACTGGTTACTTTTTGTTTGAGATTGAAACACAGGATCTATTTTTAATGAGGTGCAATTACAATAACTCAATTATCCCAAGGCAAGCAGCCTCTAGTTGTTTCTGCTCTAGTGGTCTGGGTAATTCACGCATCAACTCAATAGCCTGAGTTTTCAGCACGAATGAGAGAAAGTGCTGTGTGTTTGTTCGTGTGAGTGTGTGTGTTTGTGTTTGTGCATGTCAATATCATCTAAGGGAAACAATTGCAGATATTAATGTACCGTTTTGGTATGTAATCTTTAGAAAGGGAGGTTTAATATTCTCTTGATCAAGCCTACTTTTAAACCTGCATTTACAGACTTTTTGTTAGCTGAGATACAACCTACACAAATGGCTATCTGGATCATTTGCTTTAAGCTCTAGTTTGGTCTCCACCAGCTCTTGGGGAAAATATCTATTCCTTTAAATTTCCCTCTAATTTAGCTGATATTTGCACTGCTTTCTGCTTTACAGTGGCTTTATCAGTTCTTGTTTGCATTAGCTTTATCGGTTATAGATAACCAAAACAAATAGCTGAATGGTGTTAAAAAGTTCTGTAGAACTGGGGAAGCTATTCTGTTTAAATTTAGCATTTTGAGGCATAGCTTAATTTTTCATAAAGAAATGCTTACTGTAGAAGCTATAAAGTCAAATGAATGAGGCTAAAGCTCAATATCTATTCTTTTGCTTAACAGTCATCCCACAGCCTGTTGTCATAGTATCCAGGTAGAAGAAATAATATTAACACCAAACATTCATTGATATGCCTTTCAACACTATCGCAACTTAGCATTCCCCCGGCAGATAGAAGGGGGTCAGGGAGAGCTCGGATAGACTTCTTATGAATATGAATTTTACAACATACAACACACACACACAGACGCACCTACACACACAAACACACAGTTGTGCACACACACACATAGATACACCTTCCTATAAATTTACATGCAGGCTCATGTGCACTCATACTTAGTATGAGGCTCTCAGTTCAGACAAAGTTGAAATGCGCTTTTCATCATAAAAATGTATGCAGCTGGTCAGTGCATCTTCACGTTCCAATAAAGGTTGGAAAAAAAGTCTGACTGAACCCACTCCCAGTAAAACAGGTTGAAAGCAAGTCTGTATCTTAAACTCGGTCTGACCCAATGAGCTCTAGTATACTGAAACTTAAAATCAGAGCTTAGTAAAACACATTATAATAATATTTTACTTAATGCATTAGTAATGCATACAGTTAACACATTAAAGCTAAACAAATCATGATCAATAAAGAGTAAAAGTGTAATTATTAAATTATTTATTTATCATGAACAACTCTTCATTGTCAACTAGTTGCTGGCAGTTAAAAAAAGAAGAGGAAATGTTTGAGTCAATCATGAATTGATGAATTTGGATAAAACCAGATCAATGCTACCAACTACATAAAGACACTCAACTACCTTTGGAGAAAAGTAGAAAGTTTTACAGGCTAAGTTTCTCCTTGGCTTTAGCTGCAACTCAAGCTGTTCTCTGAAGATTTTGAAGGCAGCAAGGCTGGATTCAGTCACCATGGCAACATGAAGAAGACTGCATGATCTCTTGCTCGGTTCTAAGGGGACTTCAAACACCAGATCTTTCGTTTCTGCTATTCAGGACTGCTGGCTCACCAATCTGAACAACGACCATATGCGGTAGGAGGGAATTCATGCAAAAAGTTTGCAATGACTTGGCAAGACATTAGACCAGCCTTTTTCTTTTCCCTTTTAAAGTTGATGATACTGGTAACATTTCTTTGGAAATGTATTATTTAAAGTTGAGTAGGAGGAAATGAAGTTAAAAAAAATTTCAGCTGTTGATATAGACCTATGGCAATGTATTTTCATGTTATAAGCAAATAAAATAAGGAATTGATTCAAACTTATTTTAACCTCCTAGGACCTGCGTCCACATATGTGGACATCACCTTTTGGATTATTTAGACAAAAATACTCAAATTTGCTCTTCAAGGGCCTGATATCTACTTACGAGGACATTATACTGCTACTGTTCTATCGAAATTTTAAACAAATATCCTCATATGTGGCTCTCATTTTTCTTTAAAACAAAAATTAGGTTAAAAAAATCTGGTAATTCTTTGTTTTTACATTCATCAGGTCCCAATCAGCCCAAATATCAAAGATAAATTAAAAATGCATGCCGTGAAAGAGTTTGGGTCTTAGGAGGTTGAGAAAGGGTGAGCAGAAACAGTAGATCTGGCATTCTAAGTCGATAGCAAACTGAGCGAAATGTCTTAGGACTTTGTGTTTCTACTAGTTATATTTACTGTGTACTAAACATGAAAAAATGTTTTGTTTCATTTAACTAAAAATCTTACAAATTTCTTCAGTGAGTTCTTTGTTCTCCATCAGTTCTAAAAGAAAATCTGTTTCTTAAATGCAGTTGTGTCCACCACCTACTCACTAACTGTGTGTCCAACTGAGTCTAACTCCTTATTCGCCACAGAGTGATGCTTGGACTTGTTGTCTTTATATTGTGAAAACATCCCTTTAGCATTTTTTAGTTTTGGTGCTAATATATTTGGTATCTAAAATAAATAAAATTAAAGTAATTTATTACCTAAATTTTAATGAAGTTTCTTATTGTTTCTATGCCGATGACATTCAGCTGTATATATCTTTTAAGCCTCATCATCTGAATAGGCTCTAGTCCATAGCACTCTAGTCCAGTGTTTAATCCAGGTTAGTGATTGGCTCTCTGATAATGAACTTACTTTAAATATCAACAAGACTGATAGATGATTATAGCTCCTCCTGAACTATTTCCTAAAATCAGTCAGGCTCTTACTTCTCTTTGGTCAAGTCCAGCATTTGAAATCATGGTGTAATATTTGATTGTTTGACTTGCATATAAAATCGTTGCTTCTTTCCTGATTCTTTCATTTAAGTAACATTCCTAATTTGCGACATATGGTCTACTCAACTGAACTATAAAAAAATTTTTTTTCAAGCATTTGTGTCATTGCATTTATCATGTGTGTTGACCAGCTTGGACAAACCATGTCTTTTGTGCTTCCAAGCTATACAGTACAAAATTCTGCAGCCAGACTATTAACACATTCTAGCAAGCATGCTAAGATAGTCTTTACACTGGCTTTCAGTAGATTTTAGGATTTACATACAGGGCACTAAATGGCCCGGCACCACATAATATATCTCAGCTTCTTACAAAATACACTGATGCTTGCTGTCTTCTGATAAACGTGAAAAAGATTTTTTGACTTGTGTCACTGTGTGATGAGTTGGGGTTTAGAACATGTTGGTTTGTTCACAGTTTGGTATTTAGTAGGTTGTGTGCCATGGATTTATCTGAGCTTCTGTGCTGGATATAACTGCTTGTGGTGGCTGAATAGGGCACTAATGGGAAGAGTGAAACTGAACAAAAATAGTAAAAGATACTTTGAAAACAAAAACTTTAAAATATAGTTAGACAGGAAACAATGCATTTGTGTAATGTAGACAAAAATAATATGAGGTTTTCTTGATAGAAGTCAGACAACTTCTGCACACTTCCATAAAAGGGGATAACCATGAAGTAATTCAGTGGACTCCGAACATACATAAAGCAAAAAAATCACATTGGCGTAACTAATATTGTGCATGAAGGCTGAATATACGTGACGCCCTGAAATAAAAAGCTTAATAAAACTGAAATGAATTTTATCCATGTGGAAAATAACACTGCACTTGGTGGCTTGCTTGTTACAATGCTTGTTAGCAGTTTGACATTGTGTTTGGCACATCCTGGTACTTGCTGATAAGGTCACTAATTCACAGTAGTGTCACGTCGAGAAATTTGAATCCTTTTGTCCTGCTTTGCAGTTTGATAAATTCAGGCTTTGGGAAGTTAGGTGTCACATCTATAAAACAGGAAAGCTGTATGAAATGTAATGTCAGTGAGCCTTGTGTTCACTAACATAAAATGAATGCATGTATACTGTATATATTACTATATGTATGTTGCTCACCTGCAGCCACCGGGGCCTATCGAGTGAAAGCCAGCCTGGCATGTGTTACACTTTTCTCCTGTCACACCTTCCCGACAAGCACACCTTCCTTCTACATCACATTGTAGACTCACAGATCCTGGAAGGGTTCAAATAAAGAAAAATGTAATCATAGTGTTGGACAAGAATTATGAGTATTTTCTATAAATATCTATCTATCTTTCTATCTATAAATAATGAACATTTGTTTTGAATTTCTGTTCCTGGAAGAGAAGTATATAACCTTGCTTCTACACTGTAGCCGATATAGTGAAGCTTTAGTTAATGGAGAAAAAAGGCCATCTGGGGCAGAAAGAAGAGAAAAAGGGAAGCCTGATGGAGTCTGCTATAACCTTTGATCAATATAATGGACTCCAACAGCTCTGTGCCTTCACCGCACACTATTTATATGAAGAGGAAAAGATAGTTAATGTTTTTTGTTCACTTTTCTCTCTCATTCTCTGATGATGGGTGAAGCACAAACATAATTTGTGCTCCACCACCACTAATGCTCCTCCACCTAAAGTTAGGCCTTGCTTAATGAGCAATGAGTCTTTTCATTGATAATGTTCAGTGAGTCAACTGGATCAATTTACACCCGCATGGGTGAGTAAATCCATGGATTTCCTTAATGATCATCGTGGAAGCTAAGGCAATGATAACTAAGATGAGATTGAATGAATTATAAATTGAAAAAGATTCTACTCCTAGGCAAGTTTGGTGAGCTGATGGGACGTAGAAAATATTAATGCAGTGCCATTAATTTTTTAAAAACATTGGCCATAAAATTTTAAAATTAATCCTATGAGTCCCATTCATTTGTAGCTAAAGCTTGCATATGGTGCTTTTTTGTGCCAGTGTGGCATTCCAATTTAAACATAATTACATTTTCTCATGCAGGAGAAAACAAAAGTAGCAAGTAATGACATTGGCATGGATCATAATTAGGGCTTCAGTTATTATCAAAACAACTGAGATTTTTGTGTCTGCAGTTTACCGTTGACATTGCAGTTGCAGGGTAGGCAGGGATCTTCTGTAGATTTCCGGTAGTAGCCATTTCTGCAGCGCTCACAGTGGGGCCCATCGGTGTTGTCTCTGCAGCTCACACATCGCCCCCCACTGCCAGTGCTCCGGTACTGTTCCATGTCAAACACACATTGGTCTGATCTCCCACTGCAGTTACACTCTGAGAGTGAGGTCGGTGGTGCAGGAAAAAAAAGAGAGAAGAGGTAAGAGGTCAAGAGAGGAGAGCTGCTAAGACGAGGAATGACCAGCCGCAGGGGAAGATACAGAAAGCAATGAAGTTAAAAAAAAAAAAGGATGGCAGAAATAGATGAAGTGGAGAGACACACAAAGGGTATATGCATGTGAGAGATTATGTGTTCTGGGATTGGATCATAATTTAGAGTCTCATTGCTAATCTCATTTCACACAGGCCTAATGAGGAGCCAATCGGCTGTCAGGGGGCACTTAGATAACAGTAATTCATGTTTGTACAAGAGCAAATTACTCAGCTGATAACACACCACCACAGCTCTCATACCCTTCACATCAAATCCCTCTTTAGTTTACAAGTTACCCTGAGGGGGGACTTAGGTGAAATTGCCCATTTTATTATGAATCAAGCTCCCAGTTGAGCTAGAAATAACCATATGATTACCCTTTCTTTTTAATAAGAAGTCTCATTAGTATTTAACTTATTTCACCGGTTGCTTTTAAAACCTAACATGTGATGAACTTGGGCTCGGTGGTTAAGGACTTTAATGTACAGAGCCTTCATTTGTTTGGCTGTAACTTATACTGCATAGATACAGTTACTAGCCACAAATCGAGGCTTCGCAGGGTTAAAAAACCTACAACTATTGTGACTGCTCTCATTTCCATATATATTTAGAATTTTAAAAGTAATGAGTTCGTAATTATTGTTGATTTAGCACATATTAATCCATTCCTTGGCTGTGGCTTAGCTCTTCTTTGGGTACAAATCCACCACCCTTCTGTGTGGATGTTGCAGTTGTTCTGGAGGTGCTAACATCCAAATAAACGCAGGCATGAATCGGAGCATGAATTTCTTTTGGTTTTAATCTTCGGCTTAGACTAGCAGCCTCTCACCATATGATAGCTTGTATCCGGCCCTCCTATGATCCAGAATTGGAGAAAGAAAAAGCATATAGGAACCCAACAGCAATCATTCCCAGCAGCTGTTTCCAGCCCTCTGACCACTAAAAGCCCAATTCTTTTTGTCCTATTTTGGTCTGTACTGCATCATTAAGGGAAACTCAGGCACTTTAGCTCCTAAATGCTCATTAGTTTTTCCATTTGGCTTGTGGCTGCCTGTATTACCTACAATCATACTGACTATGATCTTGCATCGACAATGTGATAAGCTACATACAGTTTGATTACTGATACCGCGTTAATTTGTACACTACATTAGTAAAAGGTTTACTTCAGTGGTCTCTATGGTTCATGTAAATGAGGTAAGAACGGCAACTACTAAGTTTTCTCATTTCTTATGCATTGATTATGTGAGTCCGCTGAGGTGCGAGCGACGTTAATTTCATCATCAAACACTGAGCACAGGGGTCTATGCTGACATCCAGGTGCCTAGCAATATTTTTGTGACCACACACGCTCATCTGCGAAGAATTTACATTTCAATGCACCAACTACGCACGCACCCCAGGTGGCGGATTTCAAGTGGACTTCAAAGAAGTATAACAGGAATGACTACTTGGCCGCTGTGTCTCCAGCTGTCCATGTCCATGTCAGTAACATAATAAAGGCTTTGCTGGTAAGAGCTTATGGAGTCATGTGGGTTTTGAGCGGGTCGGTGTGTGAACGCACGTCTTCACACTTAGGATGGGACTTCTTAATTGCTTTGTGCAGTCACTGGAACTAAGGAATTTGTGTTTAGTAAACATTCTGATTCCAGACTGTACAGACTTCTTATTAAAACCAAAATACCTTGTTTTCTTTTCCTTCAAGTGTTAAATACAGAAGATGAGGCAAGTGGGTGTGAAGTCTTTGAAGTTGTTTAAGGGCACCTTTGATGAAGTTGTTCTGAGTCAAACATGTAATGTAACAAATCACTTCTGCTGCTGAATCATTAGTGAGGGAATGTGATTACATTTTTTATGAGAAATCTACATAAGGAGTAATTGACGACTGCTGCCTGCTGTATCTGAAAATTAAATTAAAGAGAATGGGAACTAAAACTAAAAGTCGTGGCTTTAAATCCCCAATGAATTTAAAAGTGCCAAAAAGTTTTTTAAATCAAACATGAACTGAAGAATCAAGTCATTATCTCTGGATTCATCAATGTGAGTTACCTGTTTGCGTTTAATAAATTAGGTTTATTCATTGCTGCAGCTCTAAAACGCCATCCTTGAGTTGTAGTTCAGATTATTGTAAAAGATACAGCAGGAACCAGCAATCGTTGCTAGGAGAAGACTTACAGATGCAACATGGATACTGAGGTTCTTGGGAGAATTAGATTAGGAGTATGGAGAATTATTGCACATGGGTAAACTGAGAGTTATAAACAGCAGTACCAGTGACCGATTAAATTATACTGTTACATATTGTACTGCAGTAATTCACCAATGCATGGACAAGGAGAACAGCTGGTTTTCTGGATGGCTATGATCCTTGATAATTCTGTCGGCCTTACACAGACATCAGGCAGATCTTTTTAATGGCGGGATAGCTCTTGGCAGTGACGATCTCTGATGGCTGCCCCAATCTCTGTCGTGATTTCCAGCTTTTAGCAAGCAACTTCCATTCCAAAACTGTCATACAGCCTGTCACCAGGCTGTCGATCGTGCTTCTGTGGAAGATTCAGGAGATAGTGTCTTGTAAAACTAAGTGTCCTCAGAAAGTATGAGCACTGACGGGCCTTTCTGTCCGTGATGTCCATGTGAAGGTTCCAGGATAGATTCTCAGTAATGTTCACACTGAGTAAGTTGAAAGTGCCTACCACTTCAATGTTAGCATAGCTAATATGGATGAGCCAGTGTTCTCTTCTGGATGATAGTTCACTATCATCTCCATTGTTCTGCTGATGTGAGAGAAAGGTTGTTGGCCTGTTTAGCTTTGTCGGCTGTCTCATCATTGTCTGCAATAAGGCCTACAACAGTCCTATTGCCTGCAAACTTAATGATGATGTTCTTGGAAGTGAAAAAGGAGCACAAGAGTACACTAAGAAATCGCACACTGTGTTTTCAGTGAGCGAGGAGGAAGGGTGTTCCCGTTTTCCAGATGGGTGAGGGCAGTGTGTGTTGCCAAGGCGACTGTGTCGTCCATGACTCTGCTCCTTCTGTGGGCAAATTGAAGAGGGTCCAGGATGTCGGGGATCAGCAGATGTGTTTTCTGACCAGCTGCTCAAGGCACTTCATGAATGTCTAACTCTTTATATTTTTTTACATATACATTGGTATTTGTTCCATTTCTTAGTGGAGCAAATACTAACCTTAGACAAATATAACCAGTCCAGTTTGTTACTCAAGTGGAAACATGTCCACCTAGCCCGTCTAGGCCAATGATATTTATGGCCTGAACTGCAGTTCTCATCCTTCAAAACACATCTGCTATCCCCAGTTCAACAAAATCTGACAACCACCCCACCTACAAAAATAAAAGTTTCTGAATGACTCACTTCTGATTGACGCCAGTGGGTAGCTACAGCACAAATACAACTGGTTGTCTCAACTTGTCACCTCTTATTCACTCTATCTTTATCATGTCAGGTAGTGGTAGTGTGACTGCTGCACAGGCTAGCTAATAGCCAAGTAGAAATACTGTCAGAAACACTGTGAGACAGTCACATTTCAGCTAGTGCTACAAATACACATTGATATTTCAAACAATATTTACTCATTCATAAAGACAACGTATTACAGTGCAGTGCAAGATATCTGGCAACCAGGCTTTACTCTTCTACCTGTAAATGTGGTTCTCTATAGTGAAACAAACTACAGGGCAATCAGAACATGTTACTTCTGATCATTCGAACTTTAGCATTGTTATGAATCTGTTTTTACTATAAAGCTCTATTTCTGGTGTTCTCTTTTTTTCTTTACTATTACATTTTGTAATTTTTTTAGTGCTATGATTTTTTTTAGTGTATGTGACTATAATGGTTTCGGCTACCCAACTGTATTTTATATTACTCTACACTTTTTTTTTAACATTAACTGCCTTCGATGTTGGCCGTGTTAGCCTCCTTTCTTGTGAGACATCAAACTGCTGAGCACATTATCATAAGCATGTTACAGTACAGCATCTTTGCCATCTTAGTAACGGGGTGTAAAATAACTGTAGCTGAGCAGTTAAGGTTTTATACGTATGTGGGACGAAGATTGCTACCAGCAGAAAGGGAGAGGGGAGCTGAGGCAGAACAAATCATTTGAGGCTGTTTCTCAACAAGTTTAACATGAAGACTCCCCCATACAGCTCTCCATAACTTGTGTTAGGTTATCTCGTCCACATTTTTATGTTTGCCCACCCACTGCTGTCTCTTTAACATGCTGTTACAACAGTCCTGTCCTGGGGACCACACAGCTTGTGCGTCACTGTGGAGGCTTCATGCAAGTAAGTAGGCGCTGTTAGCTCATTGCTGAGTCTGATGATATAGTTCACAAAGCACTTTAAACCTCCCAGAATGCTACGGCTCATACATTCTTGAGTGGCCTTTAGGGTCGAAACCTACAGGATTACAATAGGAATACAGACTGTATTGCACTCTTGATTGTTTCCATCTATCAAATGGGGTTTTATCAGTTTAACAGTGGCACTAGCTGCACTTCTTGCTGGACCAACAATGAACAGTGCATTATGACAATCACAACTAATGGTGTGACTATAAGGAGCAAATAAAATAACAACCATAAACCTTACCATTTATGTCTTGTTTAATCTGAGCAATTAGGGTAACTCAGAACCTTATGTTTAAGAGTGGAAAATCTATCGATCACAAAGCAAGAAAGTTCAATATATTTATCAAGTAAATAAATAAATAAACACAACTTTTATTACAAATACTGTTGTAATTTAGTTTTAAAAATGATCTAAACCTACCAAACCTGATCTTTATCTGACTGCGCTGCTCACATAACGGGAGCGACAGTTTTACCGGAATACAAAAACTAATAAATGTTTATGGATAATTAGATTAAAAAAAAAACA